TATATGGTTAACCCTTATCATGTATATGTTCAAATAATTCTAGTGTAATTATTATTAAGATATTAAGTTGGCGATAGCGACTGGGTATAAATATAAGAGACGAAATACGAACAATGATGTTCATTCGTTAATAAACCCAGATCGACGTCAAATAATTAGTACTTATGTTTCTTATAGATTAAAGCTTCTTGAATAACAATTATTGTGAGAGCGCTGTGTGCTTCGACGTATTAGAGCTACGCACCCCCCAACATAAGAAATCTTAAAATACGTCAAGCTAACACAAAAGAAGCACGCTCGCAGACCGAACATAAACGTCTGAACAGATTTTGATTGGGGTCTAACGAGTTCGCTTTAAATCATAAAGTCTGTCAATGACTCAAGTGACATGGTTTCCGCCCAAAGTGTGTACGTGACGACAAGGAGTTCGATTGCCTACCCAACCTAATTACTTTTCTACAGGCACTACTTTTTTTCCAGGGGGGTTGGGTGGCTGAATGGATAGCGCGTGCGCATTGTATCATAAGGTGTTCCATTGAGTTAAATGGCGTGGTTTCGATTCCCCGGTTGTACGTGACAAGGAGTAGGGTCGACTGTCCAACCTCGTGGGTTTCCTCCCACTGCTAAAGATCCCGACGCGCAAGCGAATTGTTGAAATAAAATTGAACCATGTGTTAGTCCCAAAATGACCTAATTTGTGTCGAGTGGACGTTAAACCGCATCTCTCTCTCTCTACTACTACTACTACATGCACAGATTCTTTAAGCATCGTGTTTTTCATTTAATCAGTATCTCAACGGGATTTTCCGGTGTGGTTTCAATTTGGCGGTGGTTTAGGACAGAGGGTGTCACAAGGACAGTTATCTAATCGTTCGGATTGCACGAAAAAGAGGTCCCGTGTATAAATTGGCGTGTACGTAAAATATCCCTTGGCAGTTGGAATTCAATATAAAAGTAACCCATAGTGCCGCTGCTAGAACAAAAATTTCCCTCATAACACACTGTATATTATGTCCGTCTTCATTGCATCTTTTTCTGCACTTTTCATTTATTAAGAAGAAATATGTGAATACCTCTTGTCTTTAATTATTACATACCCAAAGTACCTGGTATACGACGCGCTTGCAGTGACTCGTGTAATCACAAGGTCATCAATTAATACAGGAATGATTCCTGTAATCCTAGGGTCATCAATTAATACAGCAGTGACGCATGCAACCATAGGGTCATCAACTAATACAACCGTGGCGGGTAGGGTCAGCTGTCCAAAACTCGTAGAATTCCTCAATATAGAGCTGTTTTCTCCCCAGTTACCCCCACCCCTACGAGCAAGTGAATTATTGAAATAAAATTAAACCATATGTTAGATCCGAAATGGCATAGTTTGGGTCGAGTGGACTATTGCAAATCTTTTTTCTTGCTTCAAATGTTATATAAATTATAATATAGACAATTATTCACTTGAAAGGCCTATAATAAAATCTCTAGATCATCGGATGGCGGGAATTTAAACAGATTAAAACATGGTAACCATTTAATGATTTAACTTCACAAAATAGCGAATCGAGGCTATAAGTGTTGTTGTACGTTTAGCTTCTTTGAATCGGTTCTAGGCGACAACGACTAGTTTAAACTCCATATGATACTTTCAATTAGCTTGTGTTGAGAGAGCCAGCCATGGTCCTAGCTTAGCTTAACACCCTTGGGTACCAACTCCCAACTAACCGACATGGCCCCTGTCCGATCTTAACTCAGACCATCTCACCTTCTCTATAATCTCCTTTGAATTCCTGCTTATAACCCCACTTTTAGACAAAGGATGATCGAAGAGATTATGCAACTGGCTCTATTGCATCATAACTCATGCCAGGGGTAGTAACCAATGACATCCACGTGGCCGATGACCGTGTCAGACCAGTGCCAATGTCACCCATCTCTGGGTCATAATATGATAAGGATGTTTTAATCGATTTCATGTATAGAGTGTGTTAAACATACATTATGCAAGAGCTAAATCTGTCTATTGCAGGTCTTTCTTTAGGCCTGAAATATTATATAAATTATTAACTAAAAATTAATTAACCTATTAAGACCATAACCAACTCTAGATGGCATCACTAGCCTGCGATTTTTAGTGGATTATGAGCCGATTTACTGCATAACTCCCCTTCACGATGTAACGATTAAATGGATACTCGAGACTATGCTGTTTATCGTACTGACTTTAGTAATGATGATCAAGGTTAGGCGGAAACTTCATTCGCTTAGTTCTCGGTTCATAGTGGATAAATTTGAATGAAATTTTCAGCAAATTGCCTTTACATTATCTAGTTTTTAACTATTATAGTGAGAACTGCCAGCCCGTTATCGAATCTCCAATAATGTATCTTTAAATGACATAGAATAATGTCAATTGTGTAACAGTCTCGAATAACAAGTACTGGTGTTACGATAATGAACAATCACATCTAGTCAAAACCTGAGACAGTTGTAAAAACTTCTCCCAGAATAAATTAATTTGAAAGAAAATTTCAATGTATTCATTTTTCATTATCTATTTTTAAACTATTATAATAAGAACGGAGAGAAATGGGGTTTAACGTCCACTCGATACAAACTAGGTCATTTCGGGAGTAACATATGTTTCAATTTTATTTCAATAATTCGCTTGGGTCTTTAGCAGTGGGAGGAAACCGGGGGACCCGGAGAAACCCACGAGGTTGGACAGGCGACCCGACTCATTGTCAAGTTAAACCGTTCAATCGAAACCACGCCAGTTGACTCAATGATAGATCTTATGATACAAAGCACACGCGCTAACCATTCGGCCAGCTCTTTATCTAAATCTTACATAATACATGTTTAGTTTAAACCAGTTCCGTTGATTTACAATCCACGGGTACGTAAACATAAAAACATTAGTCACCATCAAAATCCTTAACACGAATGTCATGAAGACATAGTTCAGTTTGCCATAAATTGTTTGCATGGCACTCTTGTGCCAATTTTACAAGGTCTTTTTTTCTTGATAACAGTAGAAGTAGTATACAAACAATTAATGTATTTAAAGGGGTATTAGCACTCCAAATCAGTAACTAACTGTATCTAAAGGGGTATTATCACGCCTACCTAGTAACTAAATGCAGTTTAAGAGGTATTATCAATCCAACCCAGTTAAAGAGATATTATCACCCCAACCCAGTAACTACATGTATGTAAAGAGGTATTACCACTCCAACCCAGTAACTACATGTATTTAAAGGGGTATTATCACCCAAATCCCAATGGTAAATGCATTTAAAGAGCTGTTATCCTTCCAACCCCGATTTTTGATGCGAGTTTGTTATCTCCCTTAACAAACACACTAGTATAGATATGGGCGCTGTTCCTCAATCCCTTTCAATTTCTGAATAAAATATTGTTTTAAAAAAAAAATCATTTAACAAAGTTTCTTGTCGTGGGACTATATATATTCCAATAACATCTTAATCTGTCAAATTCATCAAGAAAACACTAAATGTTGAACTAAATGAAAAGCACCGGGGACGAACGACCTAAGTCAATTTTTCAATGAACCCCAGTTAATGGGTAGCAAATAGTATAAGCTTTCTGTGGAACAATCAATTTCAGGTACCAAGGCCCTTCTGAAATGGCCTCCCGGACAAATACAAGTCCATCGTATTTATTTGACCTTAATTTGGCTGAAAAGTGGAAGTCAGTTGTTGTACTGGTAATTATGATTCGTATTAAACAGTATTTTGAAGTTGTAATTAAACCCACTCGTTGTTCTGTTCGCGTCAAACATTCTCGTCCAAAAGTCTGTTTTGCCTTTTATGCGAAAAGACAAAAATGTGACTTAGATCGTTTTCCCCCTGGATTCTTCAAATGTCCCTGGCATGCAGAGAGTTCGACCATAATACGAAAATCCGTGCAACCGGAGTTCGGCAAGGAGATTCCCGTGTTCCTCGAGATTTTCAAGACTTATGTCCCTTCGTCAGGAATACAAGACGGACAGAGCGCCAAGAATTACACATGTCGTATTAAAACGATCCACTCTACGTCGTAAGTAATTTAGGGCTATCTAATCTATCGAGTAACATCACTCATAACACTGAACGATTTGTATGAATCCAATTGAAGCTAAATATTTTTACAATAAAAAAAATATATCATTTGCAATTTGGTGTGGTGAACGCTGCTTTTGAACAAGGGCCTCGCATAGTAGAGGAACTAGGGTCACGGTGGTTAAGTTAGTAAGACGCTGGTTCGCTAGCCTTGAGGTCGGGTGTTCGATCCCTGCATTGGCCGAGAAAGTTCATCCAGATTTTAGGGCGTGGTTCTCCCTTGTCAGTGATGCAGGACGGAGGGCCTGACAAGGACAGCTGTCTAGTTGTTCGGATGGGACTACAAACCGAGGCAATGTGTACACGTACAAGATCCCTTAACAGTTGGAATTCGATATAAGAGTAGGCCATAGTGCCGCTGTCCGGGCAAAATTTCCCTCATAGCACACTGTATGGCGTATGCCCGTCTTCATTAGCCCAGTTCGGAGCAGAAAAGTAGGACGTTAAACCCCATTTCATTTCATTTCGTAGAGGAACGAAATCCCTATATTTATACAATAAGACGGGTACGTGTAGTGACTCTCTCCTCTAGGTCAGAACACTTTTAAGATGTGTGCAAGATGACAGAGGCGATATGTAGCATATCTGAACCACTGGTAATGCGAAAGCCTTTTATTTTTATCTCTGTACAAGATGACCGACCTTTTAGTTCACGTGCAGAATAGGTCTACGTGTGACGGCACATTATTCGGCACCGATATCACGTGCATTGTTTACATCGAGCGTAGTAACACAAACTAGTCCGGGGTGAATTGGTGCCTTTTACTCATTTTACGCTTTTGATAGCGCCACTTTAATCTGAGATTGTGACAATAAATCACGTGAATATTTCTAGATTTAAAAAAAAAGATCCAATGAAATCTTTATAAGACGCAAGTATTTATAGACACGTAGTAGATCTCTCATCTCGATTTATAAAGAAGACAGATTTACCATTCAACGGTTTGTAGTTCTTTTTGCCTATAACTATTATCAAGTATTTCAACCACCGTTTGCCAGGCAAGATACGCTCGCCTTTTTGCAAGAGATGGATAGAGAACAAGCTAACGAAAACCCCGCGATTTTTCGTAAAATCTGGAGCCATAATCCACGAAGTTATGGTTTGAAATCTGAAATGCACGAATATCGCAAGGAACATATATTTTTACATTTCATCTAATTCGGACAAAATTGTGACCTCTAGAAGGTCCACAACCTTTGTGTTACATACTTTTACACTATTTGCCTAAAAGGAAGAGCCTTTTTGTCGGGCAGTTTCGTTTCGATGTTGGTAAAGGTGGCGCAGTGGGCATGGCTCTCTCGGACTCTATACCGAGAAGGGAATCACGATGTCTAATTGGGTTTGACTTTGATTCACGATCGTTTTGGGTAAAAGTGGCCACGCGAGTACAGTTCAGGGTTTAATCCAGGTATTCGTCGAGTCGCTTTTTCAGCCTAGTTCCCGATTATCATGTGCATCGAACTATGGCAGATTGGCGATGGTCTAATGTTCCGCGTATGATAAAATTCCGCGGTTCTGTGTACATCATTGACGCCTAGAAATTAAACTAAAAGTAGGTGGTCAATAGCACACCCAATGGCGTATGTCGTCATTGGCCAATAGAGACAAGTAAAACGCTGAATACTGTTCTCTGGTGACAAGTCTTAAATGAAACAAACACTGTATTAGGTGTATAGCATGTTTATGAAGAGCATGATCTGGGTATTCCATTCCTAGCACCTATTTTATAGCAACCCATTTAGTTAAACACTTATTAGAGTTTATTATTTGTAACTTAATACTTGCTAATACGCCAATACAGCTTATACCAGAATTCATCTAATTCAGATTTACAATATACAATAAAACACTAACTATTACAATATCAATAATCTTTGAGAGGCATTTAGTAACTGGATAGGGCAATAAACTATAACACATACTTATGGAAAAACAGCTACTTATTTATTTAGGCGATGTTATCAAACCTCTTCTCTTCACGGACCCTTGAACGAAGATTACACTCTGATACTTTTTACATGTAATCTGTGGTTTGCTCCAGTAATTGTTTGTTTTTGTTTCTATTTTATAATTATGTTTTTGGATTCGTATTAACTACAGAAAGTTATAGAGCAAGACATTTTGCTTTTTGTTTTATAATTTTGTTGTATTTCATTTGAATTAACGTTAATTTTCTAGAGAGAGGAATTGTAGAAAAAGACACTATGATGATCAAACTGGTTATAATAAGTTGCCTAATCCTGGCAAATGGATTAAATGTTGACTCACAACCAAGTACGTATAGTGTTATTTAATAAATATGTTTCAGGGTGGTTTGGTCAACTGGCGTGGTTTCGATTCCCCGGTTGTATGTGACAAGGAGTAGGGTCGCCTGCCTCGTGGGTTTTCTCCGAGTCCACCGGTTTCCTCCCACTGCTAAAGACCCCTAAGCGCAAGCGAATTAATGAAATAAAATTAAACGGTATTTTAGTCCCGAAATGACATAGTTTGTGTCGAGTGGACGTTAAACCCCATTTCTCTCTGTCTCTCTCTCTCTCTCTCTCTCTGTCGCTCACTCTCTTTCCCCGAATGTTTTGACGTGTGGGCATTAGATCATAAGGTCTGTCAATAAGTCAAGTGTCGTGATGTCGATTCCCTGCTTGTACGTGACAAGAAATAGGCCCCTCGGTTTCCTCCCACAGCTACAGACCCCTATAGGCGAGAGATTATAGAAATAAAATTGAACCATAGGTTAGTCCTGAAATGACTTAGTTTGTGACGAATGGGTGTTAACTCCTATGTCCCTCTATTGTGCTCTGTTGTCTCGTGTAATTATGTATCTGAATAAGGATTTGAGAACAGACATCGTCAATATCAAACCCCTCTCCTTCATCTGTAGTCTATACTGTGCTAGTTAATGACATCTATAGCCTGTACCATGCTAGTTAATGACGTCTATAGCCTGTACCAAGCTAGTTAATGACGTCTATAGCCTGTACCAAGCTAGTTAATGACGTCTATAGCCTGTACCATGCTAGTTAATGACGTCTATAGCCTGTACCATGCTAGTTAATGACTTCAATAGTAAGTACCATGCTAGTGACTTCAATAGTAAGTACTATGCTACTCAATGGCCTCTATAACCTGTACTATGATAGTTAATGACTTCCATAGACTGTGCTATATATGGATAAAGATATTTTCCCCAGAGTGGGTTACTGTATAATTTATTTAATTTTATAGATAGACGACAAGATGGAAGATTTGACAGGTAAGAAACATTAATAGTATACGTATAGTATAATCGTGGCAATGTGCACTCAACCGTTATAAAGACCAACGATATTATTCTGGGTGTTAATTTGAGCCGAGGTGGCTCAGTGAGTAAGAAGCTGGCTGCATAAACTAGAGGTCACGTGTTCGATCACGCTGTTGGCCGAGTAAGTCCATCGTGATTTTCGGTATGGTTCCTCTTTCCCCAGGGCCGAGGGCCTGGAAATAAACAGCGTATAGTCGTTCGGATAGGGCGAAAAACCGAGGTCCCGTGTACACTTTGCTATGCACGTAAAATAACCCTTGCCAGATGCAATTCGATATAAGAGTAGACTGTAGCGCCGTTGTCTGGGGGAGGGGGGGGGGTTGGATGGCTGAATAGTTAGCGTGCGCGCTGTATCATAAAGTCTGTCATTGAGTCGACTGGCGTGGTTTCGAATCCCCGGTTGTACGTGACAAGGAGTAGGGTCGCCTGTTCAACCTCGTGGGTTTTCTCCGGGTCCTCCGGTTTCCTCCCACTGCTAAAGACCCCTATGCGCAAGAAAATTATTGAAATAAAATTAAAACCATATGTTAGTCCCGAAATGACCTAGTTTGTGTCGAGTGGACGTTAAACCCCATTTCTCTCTCTCTCTCTCTCCGTTGTCTGGGCAAAATAATCCACATGGCGTATATACGTCTTCATTAGCCCAGTCAAAGCAGAAAAGTAGGAAATTAAACCCCATTTAATTTCATTTCTTACTGGTTTTGTTTCTTTATTCGTGGAGAGATTCAAATGTATTAATCGTCCATGCTTCTATTACAAGTACTCATGCTTTGCTTTTACCTATTTTTATTATAGGAGACCAGAGGGTAGATATATTCCAGATGAATGTGGAATATTCGACACACTACATCCGATTTACCGTACATCTACAGGTCATTGTAATAACCTGATGCACCCTCAATGGGGAGCTGCAGGGGTCCCTTTCGAGAGACACTATCGACCATCGTACCAAGATGGTAAGTTCTAGAGAGAGAGAGAGAGAGAGGGAGAGATTATTTAGACCCAGTGTTTGCTGCCATATAAATAAGATATGGAGACGTCACCAGCATATCAACTACATTATACGGTTTATAATAAAAAAAAACGACAAATAAAACCAACGTCTGTATTAAATACCAGTTAAACAACAAAACAATCTTAACTTTACAACAAAATAGCTAGCTACTATATACTAAACAGACTTATAGTTTATAATTATAACTAGCAATTATATTCGAACAGAAAGATGAAGATGTGTGAATATTTATAGTTTAGGTTTAGAACAAAATGTATATAGAATTGTGATATAATAATAATAATAATAATAATAATTCTCAATTTATATAGCACAAAAATACTTTATGGAACTTTGAACAAATTCATTCACTGGTTACAAGAAGAAGCCTTGTTGAAAAGATGGGTTTTAATCTAAGATTTGAAACTTTCTACGGTCTTGGTCAGCCTAATTGACAAGAACTTGGGTCGAGTATGTCAGTGATGCAGGACGGAGGGCCTGACAACGACAGCTGTCTAGTCCTTCGGGTGAGACGAAAAACCGAGGTCCCGTGTATACATTGGAATGCACGTAAAAGATCCCTTGGCAGTTGGAATTCGATATAAGAGTAGGCGATAGTGCCGCTGCCCGGGCAAATTTCCCTCATAGCACAATGTATGGCGTATGCCCGTCTTCATTAGCCCAGTATAAGAGCAGAACAGTAGGACGTTAAACCCCATTTCATTTCATTTCATTATGTGTATATTAAAGGTACAACTACACCCAGACTTGAAGCTAAGAGTGGTAACCCCCTGCCCAGTCCACGAACAGTCAGTACCAAGTTCCACATCTATGATCCAGCCATTCCAAAAGACATACAATGGCCCGTAATGTTCATGCAGTGGGGTCAGTTTCTAGATCATGACATCACAGCCACGCCTGTTGATGACGGTAAGCAAATGACAGCGTATAGTCTTTCGGATGGAACGAAAACCGTGACCCAGTGTACACATTGGCGTGCACGTAAAAGAACCCTTGACAGTTGGAATTCGATATAAGAGTCGGCCGTAGTGCCGCTGTCCGACAAAAATATCGTTCATAGCACACTGTATGGCGTATGCCGCACCTCATTAGCCCAATCGGAGCAGAACAGTAGGACGTTAAACCCCATTTCATTTCACTTCACGTTGTTGATGGTAAAGGATTATGCAGTTGTTGTTACTATTGTTAATTCAGGTTGAGTAGGGGTTCCTCCCTATCCACAGACAACATACGCTGAATCAAAACCAGGACCACAATATAGAGGTGACCTGTACGGTTGTTCAATGCTAGGGTCACAGATAATATATTTGTATCTATGGAACAAATTACTTTATTCTAGTCGGAAATCACTATCTCTTATTCAATTATAATATCATATGAAAACTGATTTATTCAAACAAGCTTTTTACTGATTTTATACATTTGATTGTTTTATATATAGTTTAGGGCCTGGCAAGTTATTCGGATGAGACGAAAAACCGAGGTCCCGTGTACACATTGCCGTACACGTAAAAGATCCCTTGACAGTTGGAATTTGATATAAGAGTAGGCCGTAGTGCCGCTGTCCGGGCAAAATTTCACTCATAGCACACTGTATGGCGTATGCCCGTCTTCATTAGCCCAGTTCGGAGCAAAACAGTAGGACGTTAAACCTCATTCCATTTCATTTTTATATATAGTTTTGTTTTATGTCATTTTACATTGTGTTCGATGTTGTAGGTAAATGTAATTTCACTTTGGTATTTGTTAAGCGCATCTGACTACTTCTGTAAAGGGTGTTTTATATATTACATAATAATAATAATAATAATAATAATAATAATCTTGTATTTTAGATGGAACTGCGACTTGTTGTACAGACAGTGTTAAAAATGGAGCACTACACGCCGATGTTCACAATGGGTGAGTTGGTCCTTAAAACTATTTCAGACTTAAACCACATCTAGTTCCATGATTCAATGTTATTTCAATAATTCACGTGCGCGTAGGGGTCTTTAACAGTGGGAGGAAACTGGAGGACCCGGAGAAAACCCGCGGGGTTGAACAGACAACCCTACTCCTTGTCACGTTCAACCGGGAAATCGAAACCATGCCAGTTGACTCAAAAACAGACCTTATGATACAGTGCGCACGCACTAACCATTCGGCCATCCAAGCCATCACCGACCTTCGTGCTACATTTCAGTATTTCTAAAATATATATTTATTTCTATGGGACCATGTTTCCTATTCCAATACATATATTACTTTACAAACAAAGTTGTTAACTAGGACATACTTATTAATGATATATTCATTTTTCTAGGGGACCTTGTTTTCCTATTCCAATACCAGAAGATGACGCATATTTCGGACCTAAAGGCGTCACGTGCATGGAATTTAGACGATCTTTCAATATCTCTAACGGTAAATATTTGTTTATTACTTTCTGTCTGCCTTGACCCAGTGAGTAGGACGCTTGCTCACCAACCAGCGAGTTCGATCCACTATGATTCTCGTTGTCAGCGGTGTAGGAAGTATGGCTTAGCAATGAACGGTGTCTTGTCGTTTGAACGGACCATGTACACGAAGCCTTGCCCGACAACATAAACCTAAAAAGATCGAATTCGACAAAGAGTTGACGGACACGCCACTGTTCCGTTAAACCCAACGTTATGTCGTTTATTTCTTGTTAAAGCTGCTGCGTTCGTGGGTTCAGATTTGATATTGTAAGGGGATATTTACTCTAATGTATTTAGTGGTAGCCGTGATGACGCAGTGTGTAAGTTGCTGACTCGCTAACCAGGAGGTCTGGGGTTCGTTCCCAGTGTTGGCTGAGAAAGTTCCTCGACATATCCCCTTGTCAGTGGTGCAGGACAGTGTCTAGTCGTTCGGATGAGACTAAAACCCAAGCTCCCGTGTAAAAATTGGACCTTATCTTGACCCTCTTTATTCTGTGCTGGACAGGCAACAAGGAACAGCTTAAACCCCGACTCTTCTACTAACAGTTCCAGGAAATATTCACAACAACCATTCCACTCACTTCATCGGATCTTTTGACAATTAAGGAGCATTCCATACGTACGTGATAACCAAGGCTATATATTTGTATATCCAGATCCCCGACAACAGCAGAACGTCATCACAGCTTTTGTTGATGGATCTCAAGTTTATGGTAGCTCACCAGAAGAACAGGCAGCTCTAAGATCTGGTGTTAATGGTGAGTTATAGTGAAAACTATTTCGAGGTTATTAAACGTTTAGACGGTAGCTCTAAGATCTGGTGTTAATGGTAAGTTAGGATTAGTTGTAGTGGGATCAAGACTATCAAATAAAAGAGAAATTTTACAATTCTGTAACCATTTTCATTGATATTGTTTAATTAATATCCATATTCATTGGATAATACACGTGGTCCACTAAATACGTGTTCGACTAAATTCTATGGGAGAAGCACCCAGAACCTGTTATCTGGTCTCGTTCGCCCAATTGTTTTCTATTTTTAGTAAGAGGGTAATGTTAAAGCGCCTGTACAACATTATTTTTTGTACAAACTGTTGTCTTTTCCCCCATGTAGTATTCAGTGACTTGACTATTACTTTGGTTTTATAAATTTGGGTGGCCACAAGTAAAAGACAGATTTCTTAAATTCTTATTGGAATGATTCGCATTCAAAGCAATATCTATAACGCTGATAGTATTTAGTCCAATATAGATCGACCCCAAAAGTTTATTAAATTTCGTCTGCAACAGGTCAGCTAATTCCCTTTACATTATCTAGTTTTTAACTATTATAGAGAGAACTGCCAACTCTTTATCTAATCTCACACAATGTATATATAATTGTATTTGGTCTTCAACAGGTCAGCTGAAAGTCTCTGATGGTAATAATTTACCAGAAGATGTTGATGCATACTGTACCAAAGTTCTAGACTCGGACTACTGTTTTCTAGCAGGTAGGTTTCATTACACAGAGTTACCTCCCTGTAACTAGCCGATAGATTTTATTACATAGAGTTACCTCCCTGTAACTAGAAGTAGGCTTTATTACACAGAGTTACCCCCCCCCCCCTGGTTTATTACATCGTGTTATATTGCTCTAGATACAGACCACTGTTTACTAGCTGATTGGATTTATTAAATCGAGTTACCTCCCTGTAACTAGCAGGCGGGGACAGACCACCATTAATTTCCCCATTGACTCCATTTTCGTTCAGGATGGACGAAATGCAAAGGTGTCATGTACAGACTGGCGTGCATTGAAAAGAAATTTTTAAAAGTTGGAATTCAATTGCTGACCGATACAAATTTGCCTCATAGCACACTGCATGGCGCATGCCAGTCGGGGGAGAACAGTAGGACGTTTAACCCTATTTCATTTAATTTCTGCATCAGCCCGGTTGGTGTAGCGGATTAGGACGTTATACCCTATTTTGGTTACGTTCAGTTGGTTGCGATTTAGGATTGATGACCACACTATTTTATTGCTAATGCAGGTGATGATAGAGTGAACGTGATCCCAGGCTTAGCAGCTCTACATACAGCTTTCCTTCGCTTCCACAACCAGATAGCTTCCAGGATTGCTGACACCAGGCATTGGTCAGACGAAGAGATCTTCCAGGAAACTAGAAAAATTGTTGCCGCAGTTCTTCAACATATAACATATAGCGGTAAGTGTCTAAATAATGGGATGCCACAGTGAGTACGGTACTGGGTCCCTAACGAGAAGGTCCCGGAGTCAACCGAGTTGTTGGTAGAGAAGGTAATAGCGGTAAGTGTCTAAATATTGGGATGCCACAGCCACGGAGGCTTTGTGGGTATGGTACTGGGTCAGTAACGAGGAGGCCCCGAGTCAACCGAGTTGTTGGTCGAGAAGTGGTAAGTGCCAAAATATTGGGATGACACAGCCACGGGGGCTTTGTGGGTATGGTCGAGGATGTTCCGTTCCAGTCGGGGCCTTATAATCGGAGAAAGAGGTGTGCACAGGTGACCGGAATACCGGGCAAAATCCACGACGATAGGCAAGTGGACATGCATCTTGTCACATACCTGCCTGGAATTGATAGAAATTCCAATCCATAGCGCGCGTCTTAGATGTCGCGGACATCTACACTGTGTCCGCCATTTACAGCGGAATAATCATGGAATTATTATTAATTCAACATTTTATATATTGTAATATAAATCTTTTTTAGAATATTTACCGGAAGTACTGGGTCCAGAAGGAGCACGACAATATCAGCTTGATGACGTAGATTATCATCATGATCCGTTTTTGAACCCTGGTATATACAACTCCTTTGCTGCAGCTGCGTATAGATTTGGACATTCGACCATCGTCAACAGTTTCGTTATTGATAATATTGAAATAGCTACTGAAGACCTTTACTTCAGACCATATTATGTTTTACACAAGTTAAAGTCTCTAGTGGAATTCTTGATTAGCAATCTGTCTGAACTGCGGGACAGGTAGGGGACGCGTTTCTCATTAATGACCTCTATAATCTGCATTATAATAGTTAATGACTTCTATAATCTGTATTATACTAGTTACTGACTTCCACAGCCCGTACTATGCTTCTTAATGACGAATGAAAAAAAAACATTTGCAAATTACGTGATAGACCCCCCCCCCCCTCCACTACAAATTGTGTTATGAAGAAATACCATGATGCCGTATCAGCTTATATCCATCGAAAAAAACAAATACAGTAATTTATTCAAGAATATTACTAACATGAATTTCCAGCCGGTACTTGAATTAAATATGGAAAAACTTCCGAACGGTGTCCCTATTTGTCGTTATGTTTGTGGTAATTACACACAGTAGAATACGATATTCCTCAACAAATTAACAAGAATTATTTTTGTTAAGTCTGGTTATATTATAGGGAATGGAAGCGTATAAGTTTAAAACCCAGTTCCAGCCGGGACCTCATTTGGCCCAATTCTGGCCGGTTGGTTTCAAAATAGATTAAAAACCCTGGTCTGTACGATGCTAGCTATGGAGAAACGTATTCTACTATATTCGTTTTGGTTTTATGTCATTCTCTACAAGTTTGGTATGTAGTCAATTTGTTTGTGTTTTGAAGTGGATAAATTATACGTTAGTTTTAATTTAGGTATTTTGTGGACGCCATTACCAATAAGTTATTTTTGACACCGACTGGAAGTTTTGATCTGGTTTCACGAAATATCCAGCGAGGTAGAGATCATGGTCTACCCACCTATAATGACGCTAGAGAGCACATCTGTGGTTTAAACAGAATAGAAAGTTTTCAGAGTCCTGTATTCAGAAACTACGGAGATAAACTAGCAGAGATCTACGAGTAAGTAGTTAAAATTTAAACATGCATTATGACGTCACTTTAATAATGATGTCGTTGTGTTAATCATATTAAACATGCATTATACAAGAGTTAAATCTGCCTATTGCAGGTCTTTCTTTAGGCCTGAAGCGTTATCTAAATTATTAATTAGACATTAATTAACTGATCCAGACCATAATCAACTCTCGGTGGCATCGGATACTCGAGATTTTAACTAGATTCGAACGGTTGGCTATTTAAAAATGTAATTTAAAAATGGGAAAGCGAGGTTAAGTCTCGACTATACCAGTGCCTTGGTTACCACAATGCACACATCTGGTCAAAACTACAAACAGTGATAACTTGAATGAAATTTTCAATATTTTCATTTTACATTATCAATTTTTTAGCAATTATAGCAAGAATGGTCAGTCCTTTCTCTAAATCTTACATAATGTATCTTTAATAATACTAAATCAGAACGCCATGTTTTATGCGTGTGTCTAAAGGGACATTGTGATGGTGTGCCGGGTTGACACTGGGTGAACGTAACGCCCGGATGGATTATATATAAAAATATTTCTAGTCTTCGGGGTGCGAGGAATAATCGCTTCTGTGTGTATCATTAGTAGCCACCGTTGGATGTCATTGTGTGCCCGGTTGACACTGCATGAACGTGCCGCCGGGCACAGGGAGTATATATAAATTTGTTTCTAGTCCCTCGGATGGGAGGAATACCATTACTAGCATATTTAACAAATCCTCTGACAGTTATATAAGAGGGAGTTAGAAGTAGGTAGTTGTGATTTAGGTATTTAGAAATTTCTTGTTCGAGATTTGTTTTTCGTTGTATGTCTATGATGAAATGTAAACCTAGATTATTTTTTTTTTTGATTTACTAAAATAAATTTTATCTTTATATTAAAATAAGATTAAATTAAACAAAAATACATTTTACAAATCTGATATGACAGATGTCTGATTTGTAAAACAAATATTGATTTTAAGGTACAAAAAATGTTAATTTTAGTGTACAAATGTCGAAATACGACAACAAATGAAGAAATAAGAATTAAGGACTAAGAATTAAGAACACTGAATAAAGAGCTGTTTGGTCTTCCATAAATTCAAACACTCTTCGTCCATTCTAGACTATACAAATCAACAAAAATGGGCATGCAAAAGGGAAAAAGAAGATAGGGGGGTGCTATAAATAGACGAACTACAATTTGTGGGTATCGAGAGGATGAAATTTAATATGGGCCTGTCTCTATTTACAGGAGTGTCGATGACATTGATCTATATACTGGAGGCGTGGCGGAAGAATCTATCCATACTGGAACTCTTGGGCCAACTTTCAGTTGTATTGTAGGAAAACAATTTCACAATTTAAAATTTGGTGACAGTTTCTGGTATGAGACGAAGGATCATCGAAGAGGATTTACACCAGGTAGATATATTTAATAATGTATTCGAATTATAATCAGGGAGGGTGGTGGGGCCGGGGGCGGGTGGGGGGGTAATGTTCTTGAGTGTCGTGCTCCGATCTCTAGCTGGTCGCTCGCTATTTCGATCTCTGGTGTGAGCGTATCTGGCTTGAAGAAAAGACCGTCTTCTCAATCCTGGGGTGTTGGGGGAGGGGGGTACTCCGGTTTCCTCACACAGGAAAGACCCATGCGCTTGCGCTAAGTTATTGGAAATAAAAAAAACTTGTCTGCGATATCACCCTCGGTGGAAGCGGACGTTAAACACTAATAGAAGAAGAAATTAAATTCGTATTATAACTACGGCGACACTACTTACCATGGCTTGGATTCAATCGGCGTAGAGAGCGGGAGAGAAATGGGGTTTAACGTCCACTCGACACAAACTAGGTCATTTCGGAACTAACATATGGTTTAATTTTATTTCAATAATTCGCTTGTGCGTAGGGGTCTTTAGCAGTGGGAGGAAACCGGAGGACCCGGAGAAAACCCACGAGGTTAGACAGGCGACCCTACTCCTTGTCACGTACAACCGGGGAATCGAAACCCCACCAGTTGACTCAATGACAGACCATATGATACAGCGCGCGCGTGCTAACCATTCGGCCATCCACCCCCACCCCCCTTCAATGGCGTTAAAACAGGCCTATCATTAAATTTTCGCGGACAACAAAATAGCGGCAGGCACATTGCATAGTGAGCAGCATAAATAATTCCACGAATCACTGATTATAACTACGACACTACTTTCCGTTAACAAAAAGTCCGCGGTGGCTTAGTGAGTAAGACACGAGCTCGTGTTCGATCCCAAAAATGGCCCGAGAAAGGTCATCAGACTTTTCCGGCGTCGCCCCATGTAGGACTTTGGGTCTGACAAGGGACAAAGGTAAACGGGGGAGTGGTATACACATCGGTGTGCACGTAAAAGAATCTTTGACAGTTAGAATTTGAAACAAGAGTAGGCCGTAGCTCCGCTGTCCGGGCAAAATGTCCCTCAAAGCTCACGCTGTGTCGTATGGCCGTCTTTATCAACCCAATCAGTTCAGGACAGCAAAACGTGACACTCCTCCCTTATAATTGTTGTTTATATTTTTAATTTTGTTTATCAGTTATAGTAATTGCACTAAGATCCTGCTCACAACTAGATTAGTTGATAAAAATCCCTGAACATCTTTCTGTTAAACATATATTGTATACAAGAGCTAATTCTGCCTATTACAGGTCTTTATTTAGGTCTATTTTCCGGTTTGATTCCCCCTTGTCAGTGATGCAGGACGGAGGGCCTGACAAGGACAGCTGTCTAGTCATTCGGATGAGACGAAAAACCGAGGTCCCGTGTACACATTGGCGTGCACGTAAAAGATCCCTTGACAGTTGGAATTCGATATAAGAGTAGGCCGTAGTGCCGCTGTCCGGGCAAAATTTCCCTCATAGCACACTGTATGGCGTATGCCCGTCTTCATTAGCCCAGTTAGGAGCAAAACAGTAGGACGTTAAACCCCATTTCATTTCATTTATTTAGGTCTGAAATGTTATATAAACTATTAATTAGACATTTATAAACATGAAAAGATCTTAATCAACTCTTGATACCATCTTATGTGTCGGATTTTTACTGAATTTGAATCCGATTTGCTGTTCAACGCTTATTGATGATTTAATCCAAAAGTGGATAATCCAGACTATGTTTTATTTCTATCGTACCGACTTCAGTAATGATTATCGAGGCTAGGCCTAAAATTCAATGACATATCTCGGTTCAGAGTGGGGTAATTTGACTGAAATTTTCAGCTAATTCTCTTTAGATTATCTAGTTTTTAACTATTATAGCGCGGACTGTCAACTCTTTATCTAATCTCCCATAATGTATGTTTAATTAAATCTTCATTAATCAATATAAATACATATTAGCATGGATTAAGTCGTGAAAAATTTGATATTTTATCAAAAGATATAAATGGTGTCTCGGTACTTTAAATGTTTATGAACTAATCTGAGTACATACATGTACATAGTCAGCGATATTTACTGGATTAGGATCCGATTTGCTGCTCAACTTTCATTCATGATTAAATCATGAATCGGATAATCGAGACTATGTTTTTTTATCATACTGACTTTAGTAATGATGATCGAGGCTAGGCCTAAAATTCAAAAGCTAATATCTCGGTTCAGAGTGGAGTAATTTGACTGAACATTTCCGCATATTCCCTTTACATTATCTAGCTTTGAACTATTATAGTTAGAACTGTCAGCTCTTTATCTAATCTCCCATAATGCACCTTTAAGCATATTTCAGCGATCTTCCGGGATTGGATAAACTGAATTAGTACTGATTGCATTGCAATTGGATATTTGAATCAACCAGATGTGTTCCTGATCGATATAACCGGCAGTAATTATTGAAATTGATCGTTTATTGTTTAAATTCGAATTGACAATGTCCTCCCCGTAAGAATGTACTGTAGGACAAATGTACCGTACTGTAAATATTTGGCAATGAAATATCGGAATTGTTTTAAAATAATAACTTGGAGTTCAAACAATTTATCTTTGATAAAATTTCAGACCAGGTTGACGAGATTAAGAAGATAACTCTATCGAGGGTTTTATGTAATACGATCGCTGATTTCGACAGTATTCAACCACGTGTGATGGTGCCAAATAATTTTCCTGGGTAAGTAACATGTTATTTCTACAGGCATAATATAACTCGATCGTTTGTCGGTGCGTGGAGGTTGGGTTGTCGAATGGTTTAATGCGTGTGCGTTGTATCATAAGGTCTGTCATTGAGGCAAGTGGCATGGTTTCATGTACGTGACACAAGGAGTAGGGTCAACTGTTTTTTTTGGTCGTACGTTTTCTCCGGGCTGTTTGGTTTGCCACCATTGCTAAAGACCCCCTACGTGCAATCAAGTTATTATGAAATAAGATTGTACCATATGTTAGTCCCGATCTGACCTCGTTTCTGCGTCTAGGACAGTTGTCTAGTCGTTCGGATGGGACGAAAATCGAGGTCCCGTGTACATATTGACGTGCACTTAAAAGATCCCTTGACAATTGGAATTCGATATAAGAGTAGGCCGTAATGCCGCTGTCCGGGCAAAATTTCCCTCATAGCACACTGTATGGCATATGCCCGTCTTCATTAGCCCAGTTGGGAGCAGAGTGTCTAGAATGTTCAGTGGTGCAGAAGAGCAGGACGTTAAATCCCCATTTCATTTCCTTTCTATCTGTCTCTCTCATATTTGTTGCACATGTTTGTTTTTTCTGTTTATAGCAATGCACCCAGATCCTGTTCGGAAATAGGTGATTTTAATCTGGATCTGTTGATTAATCCGGTTCCTGGACACCAACAAGCGGAAGCCAGACCAACACAAGGGACTGTACACATTCGTCGACCATACCGATTAAACCAAGGTTCAAGGAAACCGATGGGAAATCGATAGAATTCAGCTCAGTACTCAATACGACCACGAAATTTATAGCTCTCAATTAATGAATTAATTAATTAGTTAATAAAGATCCCATTATTCCCTGTGTGTTTTGTGAATTACTCGGGCATGCACGAAATGGGTGCCAGTGTGGTTTATCATTTTCTCTTGCGCACGACTTCATGAAAACACACTATTTATACATTATCAGTGAGTATACTAAACTAAGACCACATGTCTGCGATATCACACCCGGTGGAAGCGGACGTTAAATACTACACACAACAGCAATGGGTTTGGCACAAGAAAATCACAATCACACACCCTCGGCTATTTGCGCTATATTGAGTCAAGAGGATTGATTTCGATTCCCCGGTGGTATGTGACAAGGAGTAGGGTCACCGATCCAACCTCGTGCGTTTTCTCTGTCCAGAGCCTCCTACGAGCAAGCGAATTATGGAAATACTGTTTGCCCGGTGGCGGTATTAACTGTTTATTGAAAAGATTGTTTCGTTCTTATCCGTTTATACGCTTGACTTAACTCCGCTATTATTACCTGTTTGAGGTGTGAAAACATGATAAACAAAACCATTAGACTGTTTATCTGATGTATGCTTGTCGAGATAGGATACAGGATCATTATTCTCGTGGACTTGACGATTACGTGTATACATTATGTGAAGGATAAAGCATGAGACTGAGTTTATGCTGGGGAAAGAAAAACTGAAGAAAATAACCCGAGAAAAAACAACGAGGCCAGTAGGCCTACGTTTTTCTGTCGAGATTTTGTTTTCTGAAGTATTTCTTCCCCAGCATAACCGAAGTCGAGGACTTTATATTGCTTATAAACCGGCTATGTTTACATGTACGTAAAATGAGAATATCACAGAATTCCAGTAAGAAAAACATTAATTAATGTTTTCTTATGTAACACTTTCAGAAAAATAACCTCAAATTCCCCTGTATATATTCAAAACCGCCCCCAACTTTCAGACCGCAGATTATTCTGGGCATAGAATATACCCAACAGATTAAAGATTTTTACTGTTGTAGGTGGATAAGATGACGTAAGACGCTGGCTCGATAGCCGTAATGTCTGGGGTTCGCTCCCGGTGTTTGTGAGTCAGTCACTTATGCGACCGTCAGACCAGGGTGGCTTTCTTACTGCGATGCTGCGACCCTACGTCGACCAGAAAATGCACAAGGTCGCCGGCAAACGTTAACACAACGCGAGAAAATGTCCAAAAAAATTACAAACTTGAAATAAGTCGCGTTCTCACAGCTGACCAGGTCAGATCGCGATCATTTGCGACCATGGAGACCACAGCAGGATATCAGGCGTGTCCACTACGCTTTTACAAGCCTTATAACGATCTTGACGCGTTCTGAGTCCGTTTTGCGTCGCCTTAGCAGCACAGTAAGGACGCCTCCGCTGTCTGATGGGGTATTAGCCACCACCGTAGCTCAGTATGCGATTAAATCCCGCGTTTGCCGAGATTGTTTCTCATGACTTGCTGGCGCTGTTTCCCCTTTTCAGTGTTGCAGGACGGAGCGCCTGGCAGGTAACAGTGCCCAGTCGTTCGGACGATACGAACAGAAACGAGGTCCGTTTTAAGCAAGGTACTTGGTGATTAGATCCCTGTGTTTGTCGAGAAAGTTTTTTATGATTTTCAGCCGTTGTTGTCCAGGACTAACGGGCCTGGATATGAACGGTATCTAGTCGTGCGGATGGGACGAAAAAGCGAGGTCTATTGTACTGATTGGCGTTGCACAAACGAACCCTCCTTGATAGATGGAATTCAAAGTAAGAGTAGGCCGTACCGTCGCTGCCTGGGCAAAACTGTATCTCATAGCAATTCTTCATTAGCACAGGTGGAACAAAAAAGTTGGACGTTAAAAACCATTTCTTTCATTTACTGTGTTCTGGTATTAGCCATTTAGTAGGGGAGGGGGGTATCATAAGGTCTATCATTGAAATCAGCTGGCGTCGTTTCAATTCTCCGGTTGTATGTGACAAGGAGTAGGGTCGCCTGTCCAACCTCGTGGGTTTTCTTCGGGTCCTCCGGTTCCCTCCCACTGATAAAGACCCCTACGCGCAAGCGAGTTATTGAAATAAAATTGAACCATATGTTAGTCCCGAAATTACCTAGTTTGTATCGAGGGGACGTTAAACCCCATCTCTCTCTCTCTCTCTCTCTCTCTCTCTCTCTCTCACCCCTCTCTTTAAAACCCTCTGGTAAAACTATTTTTACGTCAGACTCATCAATTTTTTTTATTCAAACTTTTTTATGCTTCTGAGAAACGATACGACGTATTATAACCCAACCCACACACGATAGACTTTAAGATAGTGTCTGTAATTCACGCTTAATATACGTTATATAATGCCCTTGGGTCCTCGTTTCACCAGGTTTATATTGGTCGATACATATCACACCTGTATACTTCCCTATCCTTGACGAATATATCACGATTACAACAAGTACACCTTCAGTTAAACGAACCGTGAAATATACGTAAATGAAATTTATAAAAGGACAGAACACCTTCCCACACTAAACAATCCACGTGCTTGATGAAAGGGGATTAACATCTTATTGTCAGATTGATGCATATATCATGAATAATCCATAGAAAAAAACTTATTTTAAACAGGACAGAAGGTCCCTCAAGTCTAAATAGTCAACAAAATAAAGTATAAAAAAGTAAACAGGATAATAGTAAACAAGTAAAATAGTAAAAAATGAAAATAGTCAACAATGAAATTATCAAATAGTAAACAATTAAAATTATAAAAAAAAGTAAAATAGTAAACAATGAAATTATAGAAGAATAAGCAATGAAATTATAAAATAGTCAACAATAAAATTATCAAATAGTAAACAATAAAATTATAAAAAAAAGTGAAATAGTAAACAATGAAATTATAGAATAGTCAACAATGAAATTATAGAATAGTCAACAATAAAATTATAAAAAAAAGTAAAATAGTAAACAATGAAATTATAGAATAGTCAACAATGAAATTATAGAATAGTCAACAATAAAATTATAAAAAAAAGTAAAATAGTAAACAATGAAATTATAGAAAAATAATAATGAAATTATAGAATAATAAGCAATGAAATTATAAAATAGTCAACAATGAAATTATAAAATAGTCAGCAATGAAATTATAAAATAGTCAACAATGAAATTATAAAATAGTCAACAATGAAATAATGAAATTATAAAATAGTCAACAATGAAATTATAAAATAGTCAACAATGAAATTATAGAATTGTAAACAATAAAATTATAGAATAATGAAATTATAAAATAGTAAACAATGAAAAAATAGAATAGTAAAATTAGTACACAGTAAAATAGTAAAATTATCAAATAGTATACAGTAAAATAGTAAAATAATAAAAGTATGAATATTTTTTTTTCTTGTACATTAGGATTAGTGAACTAACCGTTAAACAACGAATCAATTACTTGAAAATAGATTAAGATAGAATTAATCAGAGGTGTTAATAGTCTATAACATGACGACCTCGACTGGAACCAAAATTAGCAAATAACTCGAATACTAATTAATCGAGTGAATCTTTGTATACAGCGTCTCTTGTCACTAATATAGATAAACATTTGATATGGCTGGGATCAAGAAGGAAACAAAAAGTTCTCATTTAAAGGCTCAATACCACTCTTGTTGTAACTGAATAATATGTCCCAATCTTTATTCTGGTCAACAAATTGTACTATTTTACAATATTCCAATTAATTGATGATACAAATTTCATCTTAACACACCTAATTTAAAAAATTGGAAAAATGCAACTAAATGATTTGAAAAGCCTGACGTAAAGGTTTTCAAATGTGACTTGGATTTAAAAATATTTTTGAACCCTCTGGTCAAGTAAAATAGGATTTAATGGATAATTTACACAACAGGTATGACACTAACACATCTAGTACTTAGAATAAGACTATTTTTTATTTTCTGGAGCTGTCAAGCCAGCAAGAGTGTTATTGTCCCTTTAAAGCGAACTGAATTCTGGGACCAGTATTATATGTAATTCGCATTTTTGAGCTAGGGTCACGCTTGGGTCGCGGATTGACGAGTTCAGATTTTCGCGGAAAATATAAAGTAGTCTAAGAATGTTTGGGGGGTTGGATGGCCGAATGGTTAGCACGTGCGCGCTGTATCATAAAGTCTGTCATTGAGTCAACTGGCGGGTTTCGATTCCCCGGTTGTTATGTGACAAGGAGTAGGGTCGCCTGTCCAAACTCGTGGGTTTTCTCCGGGTCCTCCGGTTTCCCCCCACTGCTAAATATCCCTACGCGGAAGCGAATTACTGAAATAAAACTGAACCACATGTTAGTCCCGAAATGACCTAGTTTGTGTCGAGTGGACGTTAAACCACATTTCTCTCTCTCTCTCTCTCTCTCTCTCTCTCTCTCTCTTTCTCTCTAAGAAGGTTTCAATATGTTTTTCATTTCTCGGGTATGATAGATAACCAGGTGGAATAAATTCCCTCTACATCTAAACATACAACTTCGATGCAAGTACCACCAGTAATCCTAATAAAAGATATTAGCTAAGTGAAGTCCGGAAACAGGAAGTCGTATCAGATGTTCTAAACGCAGTAAGCCATCCCGTCACTATTAATGCCAGGTTGCCACTATCACGATTCGTGCTACGATTGAAATCGTGGTTTTAATCGTGGAGTGATCGTGGTGATCCTATCAGATCTTATCATATATTGAGGTCAGTCGTAGTAGCAATCGTGTTGATTGTATCGGAACGTATCTGCACGTACCATATCACGGACTTAATGGGAACAATCCTATCGTAACGCATCGCAGGACAATGGGAGCCTAGCATAACTAAATGGCCTAGTGGTACGAACCTGGATTACAGAGCCGACAGGAAGGCTAAAGCAAGATTCCGTGTAAATTACAGTTTCTAATGACCCTTAGTCCTTCCTTCTTCATTACTCCAGTCTGTGACTGAATCAAATGGCGTGGTTTCGATTCACCGCTTGTACGTCACAAAGAGTAGGGTCGCCTGTCCAACTTCGTGGGTTTTCTCCGGCTCCC